TCAATGTCATGCTCATAACTGTGCCTGAACTGCAATAGGGAACTGCTGCTTTTTCTTTCCTCATACTTGCTATCGTAATTTTCCCTCTACTTCTTTTGTATGTTTGTCACTCTCTTGTGACCCGCTATTTCCGGGGTGCCTTGATAGTCAAAGCAGACTTTGTGCTGTTGAAGCTAGAGAGGTGAGCAGAGTAAGTCTGATTCCCTGTAAGGACTTCTCTGTTGGCATTGACCCCTTTTCACTCATATGACCTTATGCAATTGCGAGCGCCGTAAAACCTCTACTAAAACGAAAATCAAAAACTTCTCTTTACCCTTATTCAATACATTAAACTCAAAAGCGTCTCTTTATTCAAACTTTAAAATTTCTCCTTTACTCAAACTCAAAAACTTCCTTCTGTACACTAAAACTCAAAAACTCCTGCTTACTCATACTCAAAACTTCAAACTCAAAAACTTCTTCTTACCTTACTCAATTTTAAAAACGTCTCTTTACTAAAACTCAAAAACTTCTCTTTACTAAAACTCAAAAACTTCTCTTTACTAAAACTCAAAAACTTCTCTTTTCTGATATTGAAAACTTCAAACTCAGAAACTATTCCTTACTCGAACTCAAATTCAAAAACTTACCTTTTCTCAAACTCGAAAAGTTCTCGTTACCCAAACTCAAAACTTCAAACTCAAAAACTTCTCTATACTGAAACTCAAAAACTCCACTATACTGAAACTCAAAAACTTCTGTACACTAAAACTCAAAAACTTCTGTACACTAAAACTCAAAAACTTCTCTATACTAAAACTCAAAAAACGTATCTATACTATAACTCAAAAACTCCACTTTACTCAAAACTCAAAAACTCAAAAATTCCGACAGGCCTGGAGCAGACACCTACACAGTTTTCGTCGACCTCACGCTCCCCGAGCCCATCAGCGTGAGTGACGTCAACCGAGCCTTGGCCGTGACGTCACAGCCTTTCCCTGTGCCAGGACTGCTGGAGGTCACGTTTGTCGGTAAGGTAGAGTTA